ATACCTATACCTATACCTATACTATACCTATACCTATACCTATACCTATACCCTATACCTATACCTATACCTATACCTATACCTATACATATACCTATACCTATACCTATACCTATACCTATACCTATACCTATACCTATACCTATACCTATACCTATACCTATACCTATACCTATACCTATACCTATACCTATACCTATACCTATACCTAAACCTATACCTATACCTATACCTATACCTGTACCTGTACATGTACACGTACAATTACTACATATACATATAAATTTAGTTTTACATATAACTATAATTATACAAATAAATTGTATTTATACATATAATTATAATTATGCATGTAGTTATACAATATACATTATACATTTCACAAAATACATTATACATTAACATTAACATCAACATAATCATTATCTTTATCACGGATATTCACATTGAAATTAGCACCAACATTGACAGGGACATATATATTAACAAACATACACATATAAATATATCTTAATATTCACATTAACATTAACATTAACATATACATATACATATACATATACATATACATATACATATACATATACATATACATATACATATACATATACATATACATATACATATACATATACATCTACATCTACATCTACATCTACATCTACATCTACATCTACATCTACATCTACATCTACATCTACATCTACATACACACACAACACAACACACACACACACACACACACACACAATATATATATATATATATATATATATATACGCACACACACACACACACATATATATATATTTATATATATATAGAGCAGCGACTGAACGGCAAATACTATCGCTCACCTGTCGTAAGTGGACGAAAAAGGAGACGCGGGCGCTGTTTGCGCAAGTGTGGTGGCTTTAACGAGATAGTCTCCCCCCTCCCCATCGCTAAGAGGCACACCAGCAGATAAATCGGCAACGTCCTGTCCATCACACACTTCAGTACCAGCAAGTACTTCGGAAGTGCTATGAGAGGGTCCTGGGTTGTCATCGGGCGAGTGCTGGGTCTTACACGTGGCTTCTTCTCTACCGGGCTGCTACGGTAGAGGAGGGAATACAGGTCGTAAAACCATTAGTTTAGACTATGAGAAATACAAATGTGGTAAAACTGTAGGCGGGCGCTTATTAGCTTCATATACCCCATGTGTCTAGTAAAGACGAAGGTGTTCCAATTATTATTTAGCGGAGCAGCTATGCGTTCAGTATAGCTGCACATTACGCAGTACGCTATTCGAAGGGCACCCGAAACAGGCACACGAACCAATAGACAACTAGCAATTTGTCCACACATGTTAAATAAACGAATCTCGCCATTATGTTTGCCATTTAACAGTAGTCCCCTTCGTACCTTGTCCATATCCATCTGCGCCGCCACTTTCGCAGTTGGTGTCTTCAGTGACTTGCCATTCAAGTTGGAGACCGATGGGATGTGCTCAGCCGACACGCTACGATTCAGAATGAACGCTCCCGGGGTCTGTAATCGGTACACAAAATAAAAAAGCCACAAAGTTCATGAAGCTACAAAGGCGTCTGCGCCTTATTGCTTGGCATGTCGCTTCTGAGCGTACCGTAAACTCTTAACCTAGAGTACTGAACCCTCCGCCAGGGTTAAGAGTCAACTCTGATGCTCATGCATAAGCCAAGACAGGGATTGAATCTGTATGCGGGCCTCAGGGAACATACACATAACAGGACTAGTCACAACACAATGAACCTAAGAAAATACACGAGGGTGAATAGAATAGAGCTTACCAGTGCAGGTGTGCCCCCCTTTGCATACTCAGTCACGAGGAACGGCCGCATGGGCCTTCGGTTATGCTCGCGCATTTTTTATAATTAGTACGTAAGTGTCAGAACCCTTTCTCAAACCATGAAACACGACTCTGTTGCCATATGCCTGTTCTAGTCAAAACTAACCTGCAATTTTGTAGTGAATACAAACCATGGTTCAATGCCAGTATGAAATAAAGCCATGAGACAATTGCCCGTGTCAGGAATTTGTTCAAGATAACACTCTCAATGAACACTCGCGGTTGGATATAGACGAACCCATCACGTGCCACATGTCACTCGTTATCCCTCGGAAATACAGTAGAATGATCGAATGAAATCCGTAGTACAGTAGAGTGATGGAATGAAATCCGTACTTCGCGAACAAACATACTTTCCGCATGGTCTTCTACAGATGTTCACCATACTCAAAACTACGAACCACTAATCGCCAATGCATTGGCTAGCGTTTCTTGGCGACAATTTATCGTGTAAGAAGCAAACCCCAGATACACCGGGGGGTTGCGTATCAGAGTAAACTTGAGAAACTGCTAAATATATCCTGATGAGCGAAGTGGTATACTTAATGCACGTCTCATACCAACAAACACTAGAGACAAGACGCAGGCAGTTAAAAGATAGGGTGAATTAATCGTATTTGATGGCATCATCTAGGATAGCTATTCAAGAATAGGACTATCGTCATCCAATCAAGAGAAATGAGCACATCCGGCAGTGCATGCGATTACAACCACAAGCGAGTACATCCCGAATGAAGGGCATCAAAACATAATTGTGGGGTGGACATCGGGTACGTAAAATTGCAACCAGGTTTATGCTGATTTTATAAACCATACATAGAATATGTCAAATATCGTGTAGAGACAGACATTAAACCTGCATGCTTGACAACACAGTCTAACACAAAAGACAGGTGAGTGATG